ACCGGTGCAACGTACGAAAATTCCGTGTCAAACTTCACTGCAGTTGACACGGAGTTTGGTACGTAGTTCCGTGTAGCAGAACCTCTTTATTACTGCATTGCGAGTTTAAAAAATATATATACTTGTATATATTTTTTAGTCAAAACCACACAACCATCAGATGCTGCGCGACGGGGCGGGGCAGAAGTAACTCCACCGACCAAAAGTCTCGGATTCATCGTTACTCATGTGCGCCAGTACGAAATTGTAAAGAACATGTGCATCCAATAGAAAAGCACCTTCGAAAACGACAATGGAGAGAATTGGAGATTGAGATAGGACATAACAATAGTAAAAGCAGTGCATCGTGGAAATATGAAGATAGAGAGAACTGATAAGTGCATAAGGTACGATGACTGGGAGAGACAAGGCTTACGGTTGAGCGAAGGGGATCAGAGAGGGGTAGAAGGGGGCTGGAGTGCGGTCAGCATATTAGGCTGGTGTGTTGGCTGGGGTGGAGAGATCATAACCTGTCTGTGGCCCACTCCCACTTGCTGCGCCGCAAGTGGTCGCCGTCATTTTTCTTGAAGGTGTGCATACCTCTGCGAGGAGGGGAGACTGCAGAAGGGTAGGTGGGAGCTGATTCCACGTTGCGATGAAGGAGTGGGGAAATGAGCGGAGTGTGTTGTTTCATGACTGAGGAGGAAGGATACTGGCGAGTTGTGACCGATGATGTGGATGGTATGAAGCACTGCATTCCCTCAGTGATTCGCATGGTCAGAAGCTCACATGATATATTTGGGTCGTCGCCGATTATGGTGTCCCAGTCAGTATTTCGGAGGAAGACAGAGAGACAGGGCCAGTCAGCCCACTGGTATCGCCATACTGTACGAGTGGTGAGTTGGTTGATAGATGCAGTAAGCTGGAAGTCAGCTATGACAACAGCATGGTCTGATCTGCCAAGAGGTGGTTGGGTGGCGGTGGACACAGTTTCTGGCACATCCGACATGACGAGGTCAAGGATATTTTCTCCGCGAGTGGCTGAGGTAACGTGTTGTCGGAGACCATGTACACAGCACATGTCTTCTGCGGCTTCTCCAGCAGCTGAGGTGTGTGAGCTTCCAAGCCATTCCCGGTTGTGGGCATTGAAGTCCCCTGCCGGGCTTTGTCGATGTCAGATTCCAGCTGGGTGAAGATACTGTAGTCGCTGTCTGCACTCGTCCCAGGCATGTAGGCAGCACAGATGCCAAATGTCGTGATTGACGTTGCAGCAACACTGATCCAAAGAGTCTCACACTCAGAGTTGATGTCCAATTGTTTGTACGCCATCCCTTCTTTCAGCCATATGGCGACTCCACTGCCTTGCGCTGTCCAGTCTCGACGTAGGGGGTGGGGGGTAATAACCAGGGATTGAGACTTCTGCAACTGTAGCCTTTCGGCTAGTCACTACTTTCCAACTGTCACCATCTTCTTCATTTGCATCCTGGAACTTTGGCAAACAGGGTAGCACATATTTGTTGGGGTCTGGTGTGTGGGTATTGGGTCTCAGCATGTCTGCTTCTGCTTTGGCGTTCACATGGTTCACCTCAGCTTCCGAGTCCTAGTTTGAATCCAATACGGGTACACACTGATCTGCTGGGCTGGGGTCGCATGTGGCAGCTGTGCTGGTGTTACTAGTACGTCATGTGGCAGCTGTGCTGGTGTTACTAGTACGTCATACGTTGGAAGTACTACGCTGCTGTACTGTTGATTTCTTTTTCTTTTTTTTCAAACTACAAACAGAACATTATTATGAGAGCGTATTCAGGAAGGCCATAAGAGATGATAATTTAGGGCAAAATGAAGAAAAGAAAGAAAATGATAACACCTAAAAGCGCTCAAAACATACCACTTAGGAGCGAATGCAAGCCTCAGCAACAGCCACAACAGGTGGCGAGTCCATCTGCATTCTGAGGTTACGGCATCCGCGCAGACACAATCATAACATTGGAGCGGAGCAGTGCGAAGGAGAGCTTACACCTCAGCCAGGACATCAAGCAGCTGTACGGATCACCGGTCTTGGATGACAGCAACAGTGCGATACGCTTGTACAGAGCCTCCGCATGCTTGCCCATGCCGCCAGTGGTCGAAAAAATAGCGGGGACGAATGACGAGTGCTCAATCTCACGAATGCGCTGCTCATAGCTCCTCTTCTCCTTCTCATGCTTTGTGTAGCAGGAAGGAATTGAGGTGGCACGGTTTCATGGCGCATGTGGGTTAAAAACTCGCACATCGATGTAGGTGCGCTCAAACCGGCCACCCCATAGGCCACTTGCAGCGACATCCAGACGTGCTTGATCGGTGCGGATGGCCGTCCGATAGCGAAACTGCTCTACGGTCACCTGCTGCAGATGCGGTTCCACTGCAACGCTATGGGCTACACGCTTCAGCAAGTTAGCAGAGATGTTGCGGACCTCGTTGTGTCTAATGGAGGGGAAGCCTCCAGTCGGACACGACAGGGCATGGCCCACAGTAAATGTGGCACCACAACTGCAGGTGGAGGGCAGGCGCTGCGGCAACCAGCTATACCGCAAGTGAATCCCGTCACGGAACTCACCCTTGGTGAGGCAGACCATCTGGTAAAAGGAGAGCGATCGCTCTCGCGCGCCTTCGCTCTCCTTATTTTCTTTTAGGGCGCACTTTTCGTCGCGCGCCTTGAGAATTTCGAGCGCATCCGCATCACTATGAAGTTCTGAAAACACTCAAATATTTCGTAACTCGGCTTTCCCTGAACGGAATCGAGTAATCGAAAGATCTATTCGCATTAGAAAGTTCTCAGCTGTCGGCTCCAACAAATCGAAAGTCGATCCGAGGTCCAATAGTGGAGTGATGGCACTCGCAAGGTATTTTACGTACCGTTGCAAATTTTCACTTCCGCACACATAATTTTGACATAAAGGATTTCCCTCTGTTGCGTGACAGTCCGGGCATGCATAGACCTGTGTACGTGTGACGCCAGGCACAGGTCTTTAGCCGTCAGCTACAGAACAAAGCCTCGAAGGAGCGCTCTACGATGAATACTACAAAAATACCATGGATCTTAGCGAATTGTCTCAATTTCCCATTGCGTGTGTCATTGTCCCTGATGAAAAGAAACTAAAGTTGTGGTCCAAACAGCTTTCATTTGTAGTGCGTACGGCGATTTTCCAGAACGAATTTGGCTGCTATTGGGTATTGAATCTGATTGGGGTATGGCAAGATGTTGAAAAAACCGTATTGTGCTCGCCTTGGATAGATAAGGCGAGCGACTTTTTTTTGGGGGGGGGGGGACTGCTCTCCCACCACTCTCCTTGAGAGGATAGCGAGAGTGATTGTTCACTCTCCTGGATTTTTCTTACACGAAGGTCTGGTGAGGGTAAATCCATGTCGCTTCAATGGCCGACATGTGAGCCATGAGGATGCACCCTTCTCACTCGCAAGCTTCACCATACAGTCCATGCTGGGGTTCGCCAAGACGAAAGACTGCGCTTCTCCGACAATCTTCTGCCGGGCACTCAATCGAACCTAATTCTTTTCTTCCGCAATGAGGTCCGGCGCATTGCCCAGGTCGAACTCCTGGCGCAGGATGTTTCCCACGAGAGATTCCGTGATGGCCACAGAGGCGCGGAATTGATGACCAAGAGATGTCGGGTTGCGGATGCCGAGACCACCTTCTTTGCAGGGCAACGCCATCAGCTGAAGCTCCTCTGGGCTGACTGGCCTGTCACAAAGCTGAGGTATCAGGATGTTGTGGATTAAGCCCTCAAGGGGTGCCAACGCTGGAGCGGCTGCTTGCAGTACACGACACAGAAACTGCCATTTGCTTTGCAAGCCTTGAGTGAAAGCTGAGTACGCACTCTGAGGCTCAGAGCGTGCAAACATAGAGAGTGTGGTCACCTCTCACTCCCAAGCGGCCACTTTCGCTTCAAGACAGGACTGGATGAACTGGTCTGCAGAACCGAGGTAACGGCGGCCTTCAGCAGTGATCTGGACCCCAGTGCCAGCGAAGATCCGCACTGCCTCCTCGTAGTGCTCCGGCGTCGTCACAAGGACGGATTTCTCCGCATTCAGGAAATACCCATACGACGGACCTCTTGAGCACAAGGCATCCCACCAGGGGCGCAGTTTCACGAGCTTCCCACCAGCAGACCAGTCATCAGCAAACCATAACTGACACGCACCCTCTGTGGCGATAGAGCGGATGAGAGGAACTACACCAATTGCATATAGAGGCATGGCAATTGGCTCTCCTTGGGTCGTTCCCTCGCAGGATTGCAGGCATTCACCGTCAACATACAGATTGCTTGCACACCTGTAAGTGTTGATGACAGTGGTGGCCAAGGCTGGGCAAAGGTAACGAACATTGCGGACGCAAACGCTGCGGTTGAGGTTGTTGAAGGCGTTTGCTGCGTCTGCCATCAGAACACCTTCGGAGTCGGGAGAATCATAGATGGAAGTCATGGCATGGATGGCCGCCTCAATGCCGCAGTCTAGGCCAGCACACAACTGCATGCTACCGGCCGCTTCCTGGATATCCCGCCAGATGATGGAAAGGATACCTTTGCTCAGTATACGCCGTAGCACCTCGCCGATCCCGATAGGACGGACCCCGGGGTCCTTATCCAACGGCACCAGTCGGGAAGCTAGGTAGGCATCCAGGGCATCCGGGTCTACGTAGGTGGTAGCCAGATGACGTGCACACTGTGCAAGGGCATCGCAGAAGTGATCCGAGGTATCCTCAAAGGCCGTACACATCCAGCGCCAAGTCTCCGTGTCCACACCAGAAGGACCAGCGGCACCGTTGGTGTGGAGAGCGGCGTTACGAATAGATTCCCTCGTAAGGGACTCAAAACGAACCGCGTGAGGGGGAGGTGGAATGTCGCCATCCAGGAGGGCATCGAGATGAGGCGGTGCACTCTCTGGGTGTTTAGACTTGAGGACTTCTTACACCGTAGATGTGCCGATCGTATCCTCCAAGTTTAGCAGGCCCTTGGACGCCGTGCCATCTAGTAGTCGCAGAGCGGACGGATCTGTGGGTACGGGTGTCGATGTCGATGTTGCTGTACTAGCTGTCTGTGCGAGCAGGGGAGTGTGCGTACGCCCCGTACCTGTCGTGATGTTCGAACCATCAACTGTCTCTCGTACTCGTGTGGACTGTGACAGCGCGAATGCACTACGAACAGTGATGGAGTCTGGTCGGGAGTTTTCAGCGAGTGGTGATGCCGCTCTGACATTGCGCGCTGTGTCACCTTCCAGCGTGTCCCATGCAAATTGTTGGGAGCTCGATTAGATACCGCGTACCGAGACAGGAGTCGTCGACAGCGCCACGGAGAGCGCAGCTGAGGCAATCTCCTCAGCGGTTGTTGCCTTCCTCGGGGTCTGCATACCCTGCACTACCGTATGGTCGACTACGGTATTACTCATCGAACTTCGTACAGAACATTTCATTTGAATCTCTGGATCCAACGGCTTGCCCTCGGACGGCGGCTGGTTCCGGCACCTCTTATTCTGAGCAGGCCCGTAGTTTTTGCACTTTCGACCATTCTTCACACAAACACAGCCAACGCAGGAGCCATTGCCGTTGCACCGGCAACATTGGGGGCTACCCTGCATGGCATGTTCGGTCCTCGCAACGCGTCAACAGCAAAATCTACAGCAAAATCTACAGAACATCGGAGCTCGAAAAAAAAACCCTCTCAGGCTTGCGACCCAGACCCTGGGGCTTGGAGCTCTTTGAAGACTTTTCCTTTTCCGTGGAAAGGAAAGAATTTATCTTTGAGAGCAGGATCCCATTAGTATCCCGGGATTGCGCTAGGAAGTTGTCCGATAATTTCGCGACTCGCTTTGCCAGATCATCGATCCGCCGCAGCAAACGCCTCTCCCGGTCTTCGGCCTCTCTACGCTCTTCGAGCAAGGAGTGCATAGAGCGTGGCCAGATGGGGCCGACATTCTCTGCATCCGCATGTTTCTTCATTTTCAGCCGACATAGTGGCAGTGCCTCTGGCAGACCTGCTGCCTTCGCTACTTCCCTCAGCGGTGATCTCACCTACGCTTCCTTGTGCCCTGGTGGCCACGGCCATGGCTGGTCCAAGAATGTCTGCGGAGCCTGGAAATTTGCATCCGACCCCTGGAAATTCAAAAAAAGACGCCAGGGCCTTGCACAGGATACAGATACCGAGTAGCTGAGTGTTTACCAGCTTGTAGTGCAACTGTCTTGCAACGTATCTTTCAAAGTCCAAACTTTGAACCCGATTACCACTCGGATGTGAGATATCACACCTCTGAAATAGTTACGAGCTAGCAGGCGGAATCTGTGTGTGTGTGTGTGTGTGTATGTGTGCGCGCGCTTGTGTGTGTGTGTGGCACAATACAGGATGCGTCATTCTCTGTCAGCCACCAGCATTCAGAGTGCTGAGTTACAGGATGAGCTGCATGAGCTACAGGTCCGGCAGATGGCAGACAAGGTGAGCAGTCACATTGTCTCTACAATACACATGTACATTCTGCTGCTATGTCTACAGTGCAGTGTGTGTGTGTGTGTGTGTGTGTGTGTGTGCGTGTGTGTTGCAATCTCTCGCTTCAACTCAGAGTCGCTTGTGTTCCTGCTTCATGCGATCACCGATGTTTACCATCACACCTTCTTCTAATCCTAGGATTCTTTTGCGTGGGCATGTGGGTGCTCGCGCGCGCGCGCGCGCGCGTGTGTGTGGGTGGGTGCATGTGCATGTGTGTGTATGTGTGTGTGTAGATCCATGATCTTAGTGAGCAGTTGGCAGCTGTCGGGGAGGAGCGTGATTCATCGGACAACTCACAGCGCAAACTAAAGCAAGACTACACCGCAATGCAGAGCAGGTATGTATAATGTGAAGTACTACTCTGGCATGTATGTTTGTTTAGCCCCCGTCCCTCACACAAACAAGTCAACAAAGCGGCATCTTTAGATTGAGGGGTGCTGGTTTCGAAACAACTGGTTTGAAGCTCAAAGTAGAGCTGCTGTTAGCTCAAAGTAGAGCTGCTGTTAGCTCAAAGTAGAGCTGCGTTTAACTCAAAGTAGAGCTGCGGTTAGCTCAAAGTAGAGCTGCTGTTAGCTCAACGTAGAGCTGCAATGCTAAATGGATGTAATATAGCTCAAGGTAGAGCTGCAGCAAGTAGCTAGATAACACCAGTTGTGAGAGTGGACCCGATCAGTGGGTACGATAATCATAATGATTGTGTGAATAAGCTGGATAGGGAGGGATGGTGGGAAAAGCAACACTGCGGAAGCACGATCTGCTGTCTGGAGGAACACAACAGGGCAAGCAAGATTTGTTTTCTTTTCAGCAAAACGGGCTGGGTGCCATTTGTGATTACGCAGCAAGCAAAGCGCATGACGTCAGTCTTGAAGGCAGCACGGAGTAATGCAGCGCGGTGTATGCGCTAGTTCGGATTGTTGCTAACGAGTACTAGCACAGCTAGTACCCCATTAGCCCACGTCCCTCACACAAACAAGTCAACAAAGCGGCATCTTTGGATTGAGGGGTGCTGGTTTCGAAACAACTGATTTGAAGCTCAAAGTAGAGCTGCTGTTAGCTCAAAGTAGAGCTGCGTTTAGCTCAAAGTAGAGCTGCTGTTAGCTCAACGTAGAGCTGCTGTTAGCTCAAAGTAGAGCTGCTGTTAGCTCAAAGTAGAGCTGCTGTTAGCTCAACGTAGAGCTGCTGTTAGCTCAACGTAGAGCTGCGGTTAGCTCAAAGTAGAGCTGCGGTTAGCACAACGTAGAGCTGCAATGCTAAATGGATGTAATATAGCAGCTAAGCTCAAGGCAGAGCTGCAGCAAGTAGCTAGATAACACCAGTTGTGAGAGTGGACCCATGAAACCAGCACCCCGTTAGCTAAGCACTATTGACGCACAGCAAGGGTCAATTAATATCAGCACAGGCAAGTATTGTGCGACTAGAGTTCAGTAGCTCATTACTCACGCAAGTCAGGCATCATGGCATCCGTGACATGGCAGCAAGCCGGGACGATAGCTGGCGCTTAGCGCTCGTTGTAGTCCGGATGTAGCGTAGACACGCATCACTCTTCCATCGACCTGCCGCTCGGATGAGGGAGTCGGGGACACCGGCCATAGCAGCGGTGGTGGCTGCGCCGATGCGGAATGAGTGCCCGGAGTAGTGCAACTGGGATGGTACCCCGGCCGTGGCAACAAGAGACCGTACTGTTGCTGTGAACGACTGTCTGGTCAGCTGCTGTCCGTTTGAGAGTATGAACAAGCGTTGCTCGGTTCCCTGGCGACGAGTGGCAAACAGGTAGCTAACCATGGCATGGACCGGGCAGTACGGCGGTACGGATGGGCCAATATCAATAGTGACTCCTTTGCCGAATGGGTCCGTCTTGGACGAACGCAGGAAGAGCTGTAGGCATCCATCACCAGGGAAGCTAATGCAGCCCCGTGTGAGGCCATAAGTGAATTCAGCACACCGGAGAAATCCAAAGAACGCTAGCAGCATGGCGGCTTGGTAGAGCAGCTTGTCATGGTCATTCAGGATACTACTTTTACGGCATGCGTCTATCAGGTGTCGTAGGATTGGCATAGTGATAGGAAGACGAGGGGTTGGTACAGCCGTACCATGGCATCGCTGGATGCCCTTCATCACCCTCTTCAGAAGCCACGCATCTACTAAGGGGTCAGCAAACCCGTTCTCGAGATGGGCATTACGCACCGCACTCACATACACAGATACAGTTCCAGGTCTTACAGTTCGTGTGAGGAACGACGCGAAACAGCACAGCATAACGTCGGTAGCAGGATAGGGTGACCAGTGTTGCAGACGGCAGAAATCATAATAGCGTTCTTCGCCAGTGGTGTAAGTGCGGCGGGTGTTCCTTGACACAGCACAAGCAGCATATTGGCAGACGGTGGCTAGCATTGCTAAGGCAGGCGGGCAATGTCCGGAGCCGCCTTGGCGTTGGGGGAGTGGCGTCTGAATACCTGTATGAAGGAGCGAGACAGACAATCAGCAATAACATTGTGATGGTCAGCAATGTGAACGGCAGAGACAGCAAAATTGCACCGTGCACTCACAAAAAATAGTTCACGCAGCAAAGACATGACAGGAGGAGATTTGCAGCAGCCAGATCGAATGCAATCGACAACAGCCGAATTGTCACAGTGGAAGAGGATGCGGAGCTTAGACCACTCGTAGCCCCAGGTACTGCACCCTCCCAAGATGGCATACAACGCTTTCCACTCTATGCTGTGCTCGGCATCTTTCTCGGACCAGGTGCCATGAATCCATCGACCGTGGTTGTAGGCCCCCCAGCCGACCGAGCCGCTCGCATCGGTAAATAGCTGCATGTCAGGAGATGGCGTCCACTGCGGATGGAGGAAGAAGGACTTCCCATTCCAGTCCTGCAGCAGGCGCAGCCACCAAGTCAGATCGTCGATGCACTCGTTGCTTAACTTGATACGGTGATGGGGCTCCCGGTATCGGCTACACATGGACCATAGTCGACGCATGAATGTGCGTCCCGGAACGATGACTCGGGCAGCAAAAGCGAGCTTCCCCAGGAGGGACTCGAGTTGACGCTGGCCGATGCTGCGTTCGCTAACAGTGGCCATGAGTAGCGCACGGATCTCGGAGAGCTTGTCCTCTGGTAGCCGGGCTTCGCGGCGCTCACAGTCTAGGACAATACCAAGGAAGGTCAATGATGGTGATGGCCCTTCGAGCTTGGATGGAGCCAGGTGAATGCCCGGAGGAGGATGGCCAGTTGTTGGTTGGCTGCAACCAAACCAGTGGAGATATTGAGAAAGTCATCAAGGTAATGAAGCAGGTGTTCTATAGCAAACTCGTGCTGGATGATCCAGTTTTGACTGCTGTGGCTACTGAGTCAAAGACGGCTGGGCTGGAGCGAAGGCCGAAAGGCAGAACACGCTCGTAGTAGTAGGAGCCTTCCCAGCGGATACCAAGTAAGTGAAAGTCCTGATGGCGGACAGGGATCTGCCGAAATGCACTGCGAACATCGAGCTTGGACAAATAAACAGGCTGTGGGCATGACATGATGATATTGATCGCGTCGTCAATGCTCACGTAGTGCAGAGAGAACGGCTCGGCGGGAATGCTGTCGTTCACACTGGCGCCTGCTGGACTAGACAGATGGTGGATCATGCGCAACTTGCCGTTCTTTTTGGGGACGGCGCCAATGCCAGAGCAGCGCATGAACTAAAATGGCGGCGAGGGAAATGGGCCTGCGGTCTCGCCGCGTGCGCAGGAAGCAGCTAATTGCTCGGAGATAAATGCAGCGTGAGTGTAAGCCGAGGGCAGATTATTAGAGAAAACAGAAATGTCGTGTTGGCCGGCAAAACCAAGAGCAAAGCCATGGCGCAGGCCATGGAGAACATACGAAACAAAAGATTGATCTGGGTGGTGACGCAATAGGCGGGCAAAGTGGTCAGCTAGCAGTGGGGTGTATGCAGAGTGTATGGGGAAGAAGCTATGTACAGCGTCAGGCAATTCAGTAGCCATTCTACTGGGAGCGGCGGGGTGGCCGATTGGCTCCGCGCTGCTGCTGGTTGCACTTGGTGCGTGGGTGATCCTTGCCACACTGGCTGCAAGTATGGGAGAATCGGCACGACGACGAGGAGCAGCGGCCTCCGTTGAAGTTGCGGCAGATATCCTGGCCGTCGTTGGTGTGGGTGCGACCACCGGAGGTAAATGCTGCTGGCTTGGGGAAATGGGCTTGGGGACGAAAAGGACACAAGCCCGTCCCTGGGTGAACAGTCTTACATTGGGCGCATGTTGGGCGCGCATGCCCTGTGAATGCTATCTGCCACAGGTTTACGTCGATGGAGTCCAACCTCTTCGTCCCCGGTTGCTGGGCCGCGAGCATCCGCAGCTGGTGGTCGTACTCCAGCCATGCGCTTGGAAAAAACTGGCGGTTAGCAGTCAGGATCAACTGCTGGTACGCAATCAGTTCGGCGGTACGGTGTGGGGCAGTAGCCGTGACAACAGACATGTAAGTTGTCCATGCTTCGAGCCAGGCAGCTATGTCGTGGACCTTGCGACGAACCTGCTTCGCATCATCCGACTCGACAATGTTTAGTTGGCTGTCGTTATTCGGGCTGTGCACCAGCCGGAATGTTCGGCCGGAAGTGTGAATGGGGGGTGCGAGAATCTCAGGCAACAAACTTGAAAGATCTACGAACTAGGGGTGAAACGGTTCGGGTAAGGAACCGGCTTTGGAACCGCCAGCTGAAAAGAATCGGGTACCCGTTCCGTCAAATTTCGAACCGAAACTCGAAAACTCTCGTTCTCGTACAAATACATGTGCACGCCAAGTCTACTCAAGATTTTTAAATGTCTTACCTTATGATCACCGCCCTTCCAAAGGGTTCTCCTATCGATACTGGTCACTACGAGCGTACCTCCTTCGCACATGGACTCTCCGATGTCTCGTTCTTGCTCGTAAAAATGGTTTCTAACTTGAAAATAATTGTCACGGACGCATTTGGTCGGTCTGGAGAAAAGAGTGCATGGAACCGATACCCGAACCGTGGGAAATTATGCTGGCATTCGGGTACCCGAACGTGAAAAACATGGAACCGTTTCACCCCTACTACGAACTCACCTCGCAAGATACGTTCCTGCACAGCCTTGGGCACAGCTGGTGCCGGTGGCTGGACGGGTGGGTTGCAAGAGCTTGGGCCTTGGGCTGGCGTTGTGGCGGCAGCAGCCGTATTGCCTTGGCCTTGAGTTAGGAGCGGCACGATGCTCTCTGTAATGGCGGCCGACAAAGCCGACTGCACCTTTGTGCGGAGATCTATTGCGCCCACTTCGCCCGAGCTGGTGGAGGAGGCATTGGTGCCGGTCGGGCTCCTGGGCTCACGAGCCGTGTCCGCAATGTCGTGTTGCTGGTTTTCCAGGCCGGAGCAGACCTGACTACCAAGGGCTAGCTGTGCAAGCAAACGGTCTTGTAAAATACTTTTATTTCCTTTCGCGTTCAGGCCGCGTTGGGAAAGCTCGCCGCGGAGGGCTTGGCAAGTCATTGCCTTCACAGTGTCGACAGTTAGGTCGGACATGCTGAATAAATACAGTATTGAGATGACACTCGGGCTGGCAGCAAAGCTATGAAAGGAAAAGGAACGCTGAAAAGCAACACTGCGGAAGGGATGCGAAGCCGAGGTGGATTGGCTCGTCATAGGCCGTACGATGTATTGGAGGCTGAGACACTCGTAGTGGCAGCAGTGAATCCAGCAGTTGAGTGGTGTGCAGCACACTGTGCTGTATGTGACCGCTGCTTCCGGAGCATACCAAGCTGGAATCGTTATCGGTGTTCCCGGACAGTCAGGTGACTGACCAACTGCTAGCAGTCGAGCAGGTTTCCGCCACACATGTAGGTGGGTGTGGCAAGCGCTTTTGGCAACTGATACACAGGTACATGTAATTGCAGACTTGGCCGGACCCTGTCAAGAGTTGTGCCTGCACTCGTATCCACAGTGCAGTAATCCACTCTATAATCAAGTATGTGCTGCTGCTGCTGCTGCTGATGATGATGAGTTATTGTTTGATGGGTCGTTAGATAGAGGCCGGTGTTTGTGAGACTGCAATCATTTAACGTTTCTTCCTTAGTGGTGTAGGTAGATTCTGTTTTGTAAGCATAGTAGGACTACTTTTGTTTTGTAAGTCAATCTCATTCTCCACGCTTTGCTGTCATTTGGTTATGTTTTAAAATATTTTTTATGACCTGATGTTTGTTTTTTATATTTGTAGTTCTATTGTTGGCATCTTTTGTCTTTTCTTTGGGTTAAAAGGTTAACTTCATCCTTCATTTCGTGTTTTAACATTAATTTCAGAAAATTGCTCTTACAATACCTTGCGTTTTATATTCATAATATTGTTGCCCGTAAAAGCGGCTTGGTCACATGATGATGATGATGATGATGATGATGATGATGATTTTTTGATGATGATGATGATGATGATTTTTCAGAAAATTGCTCTTACAATACCTTGCGTTTTATATTCATAATATTGTTGCCCGTAAAAGCGGCTTGGTCACATGATGATGATGATGATGATGATGATGATGATGATGATGATCCAACGCAAAGATCGTTTTTCCATGAAATACAACAATTGAACACAATTACATGCTTAAAGGCATGAAAGCAACAAAACAGCAACAAAAGGGTAAGCGCCATACCAATCCCGCATGCACAGTCAGGACACAGCACGATACTTAACAAACTAGACCTGACTCGGCCACGGCAATCGAGACATCATGAAAACATCTCGCCGGATGGTGGTACCGTGACCGAGCCCCACGTATGCACAACACAGCAGCACGCAGCAAAGCAAAAGACAGCCGACAGCGGAGTAAACCAATGACCTGGGAATAGTGAGATCCCGATGACTCGGCCTGCATCTGGCACAGTCTCTTGAGGAACACAATGATGATGATGATGATGATGATGATGATGATGATGATGATGATGATCGTTAGATAGAGGCCGGTGTTTGTGAGACTGCAATCATTTAATGTTTCTTCCTTAGTGGTGTAGGTAGATTCTGTTTTGTAAGCATAGTAGGACTACTTTTGTTTTGTAAGTCAATCTCATTCTCCACGCTTTGCTGTCATTTGGTTATGTTTTAAAGTAGTTTTTATGACCTGATGTTTGTTTTTTATATTTGTAGTTCTATTGTTGACATCTTTTGTCTTTTCTTTGGGTTAAAAGGTTAACTTCATCCTCGTTTTCCTATTGCCTTGTATTGGAATTTGCCCATAAAAGTGGCTACGGTGTGATAATGCATTTCTATAAATTATTTCGTGTTTTAACATTATTTTCAGAAAATTGCTCTTACAATACCTTGCGTTTTATATTCATAATATTGTTGCCCGTAAAAGCGGCTTGGTCACATGATGATGATGATGATGATGATGATGATGATGATGATGCTGACACCTGCAATTACAGTTGTGTTTTCCTTTGTTGTTGTTTTCCTCCCCGCACCTGAAGATTGCACCACTTAGAGGAACAATTACGAGAGAAGGAGGATAGCCACCACGCCGCTATTCGCAATGCCCAGGACAAGAACAAGCTGAAATTGGTATGTTAGGGTAGTATCGTGGCTAGTAATCTATCTAGTGGCACCAGGCCGTCAACCAATATAGTTGACATCAAGCAGATAAATATCCAGTATTGACCATCTAAAGTAGAGAAAACAGAAGACAAGGACAGAACATACAGTTTAATCCGTACACCGTATCACCACACTGATACGCCACTCCTATACTTGCAGTCAACACTTGTCAGTGTTCTGTGCGTTAACAATGGCCTTCTTCATCTTCAACTCCGGTGGCAGGGGGATGTACGAACTTCCTCTAAGTACACAGTAGCATGACATTTCAACGTTTAAACAGGAAATCCGTTCAACTACCCAGGCTGATCCATGACGAATAAAATCATCAAGACTGGCGTTGATCTGAGCTACCATCGTACTGAGAATGTTCCTCAGCTCATTGGTGTTGAGCACCAGCATCATACTCGATCAGAAGAAGAATACGTTGGAAACCGCTAGTCCTGTAGCAGGATTCATTTTCTGCATCACCACCTGAGTTACCAAAGAACAATTGTACTGTCCCCATTGTTTATTATTCTCCTCAAGAAGCAACTCTAACGACGGTAGAACATGAGAGAAAGACTGTAGTGATGCCCCGCCTGTAACGCCACGAGTATATCTTGCTGGTGGCTGGCATGCCTTGGCAGAGCTCTGGCCGCGTCCGACGTTTGTGTTTGTTCCGACATTCCGTTCACAAGAAAGAAGGATGCACAGTCGTTAGCATTATGGTTTGATTGAGTCCGACCCAGGTCATGACAAATATAGTCCGACCCAGGTCATGACAAATATAGTCCGACCCAGGTCATGACAAATATAGTCCGACCCAGGTCATGACAAATATAGTCCGACCCAGGTCATGACAAATATAGTCCGACCCAGGTCATGACAAATATAGTCCGACCCAGGT